CGGAAATTTCTACAAAAAAAATTGAGAAGAGAAATAGAAGAGTTTCAAAAAATAATTCATATTATGTTAAATAAGGCTAAGTTACCTAGAGTTAATAGAATTCAAGAAAAAGGTCGAATAGTTAAAAGTGTAAACTATAATTTAATAGAAAATAAATATAAAACTGTAGATCTAAAAAATATACTTAGTCATAAACTTGATTTAGATAAACTTTTAAATAATACTTATCTTAATTATGTTAAAGACCACTTCCAGCCATCCGTGGCTGGTAGCGACGAGACTGATAATAAATTATATCCTTTAAATTTAACGAAAGATATTACACCTTATCATTATCATATCTCTAATCTATTTTTATATAAAAAAAATTACATATCATCAAGAAAATATTTGGATAATAGAGCTTCAGCTTTAAAATGATGAAATAATAAAGTAGATTATTACACTAAATCTAGTAGTTTATATTATGTGTTTTATAATCTTATTTTTAATTCTATTAAATATAAAAATATGGGAGGAATTAGAATGGAAGTAAAAGGTAGATTAACTCCACGTTATAGAGCAGACCGTACCTTAACCCTAATGTTGGATATTCTATCTTTAGTTCAAAACGTAGAGTTGGTTCTTTTGCTGTAAAAGGGTGAATGGCAGGTAAATAAAAAATATTCCATAACATTATATACTACCATTTATTTATTTTAGGTTTTATTCAGGTATTGCTTATTTTTTCCCTTCGGTGCAGACCCAGACACTGGGTCTGCGAAGCGTGGATGAAAAAAAATTTTTTTTTACTGAGTATAAATGGTATATAATACAGAATAAAAACAAAATATCCCGTTATTGGTTTTTTTTTGCAGTCCATCTAGGCAAAATATATATAATAAAAATCTGAATACATAGTCTGATCCATTTTGTAAAAGATGGAAATATAACAAAAATTTGAACAGGCTAATTTGCGCAAGAGTGTACTTAATGAGTGCGCGGTTTGGCACCTCGATGTCGGCTTAACTTCTCCTCTGGGATGCAGGACCTCGGTATAAAATAGACGTTATATAATATTACGAATATCCAATCCTATCCCCTACCAACTTTATTAACGGGGGGGGGGAACGAACAATAAAAGAAATTTTATTTTTCTAAGGTATCTATCTAACTGATATAGCATTGGTATAGACTTTGTTTGCAAGAATCTAGAGATTTGTAGGAAAAAAGTACTAATTATCTAAATACTAGTTTAGCTAATATTAAATATTTAAATATAACCCTAGGCCTGGTTAGCATAAAAGAAATGCAATTGTTTTGTAATCAATTGAAGGGGGCGCGATACCCCCACTGGGCTTCAGTATTTATATTTAATAGATTTTCCCTAATTCCCCCAAAAAAAAAGGGGGGGGGTTAGGAAACGGTATAATAAGTATCGTAAATTTATTAACAGGCTGATAGGCTAAATGTAAGTAAAGAAAAATCTCTAGATTGTTATTATACGTACTACATAAAGAATAAAATAAAGAAAAAATGGAGTAAAAAAGGTATTACTTTACTCCCTAATCTCAATAGCTCAAAAGGTAGAGGAGGTATTTTCCTAAATTACCAAATTTAGTTCTAATCTAAATTGTGATGGAAGGTGGTCCGTTAACAACTAGAATAGTTACCTTAAGAAATAACGATTATCATACAGGGGTGATACAGTGTTGGTGGAGGCGCCCCCCTCCCCCCCCTTTCCTAATTCCCATAAAGAATAAAAAAAACTTTTTTATAGGGAGTGGGGGGGGATACTCTGCAGTGGAAGTATCTTTAATTAGGATTAGTAGTCAAGTGGTATGACACAGCTCTTTCAATGCTGGGATCGTGGGTTCGATCCCCACCTAGTCTAATTTTATTATTTTGGACGTAGTTGTATTTTTTGGGGGGGGGGAGGGAGATATAGGGTAGTAAGCTAAAAATCATGTATGATCTTTTGTCTACTGTGACTTTATAAGAAAAATATTTATATGGATTTAAAATAACAAGTAATAATTCTATTTTATTCCGTACCTCTCAATATATAAGCTGTTGTTAGGAATAATAAATTTTCAACCTTTTTTTTTTTTGTTATTTATAGATTCAAAAGAGGTATGATAAAACCAATTTTCAATTTTTTTTTTTTTTTTTAATTCAAAAGTGGTATAAAAAAACAATTTTTATCTTGGCCTACTAAGAAAGGATAAGCAAACGGTAAAAGTGTAGTATTCTAATACTACTTTTTCAGATAAATAAAAAAAAATTTTTACAACTACAGGGCGCTAGTTTATTTTTAATATATTTTTATTATTTTGTCACTTATAATCCTCCCCCCTATTAGCAAGGGGGGTGTGAGATAAAACCAAAGAACTTCTTTTTTTATTAGTTTAGCCCTAATCCCTTCGCGAAGTCTCCTACAGGGGGGAGGGCTATCTGGTGGAAACAGGGGATAAGTAATAAGGGATAAGGGATTATCGATTAGTTTAAGGTATTTTAGTACAAAGAGAAAGGAATTTAATTTGTAGTAAGTATAGGGTAAGAGGCTATAACTTAATTGGTAAAGTGAACTGCTCATAACAGTTTTTATAAGTGTTCAAGTCACTTTAGCCTTATGCACTAAAAATCTTCTATTTTTAAAGGGTGGATGTAATAGTTAACATGCTGAATTCACGATCCAAATTTTAAAGTGCGAATCCTTTGCTTGCATTAGGGTCCCGGTCCCATATAAAAAATCAAATCGTAGACAATTGGTTGAGCAGAGCATTGAAGCTGCTTTGGTTGTAGGTTCGAGTCCTATCTTGAGCACAGTTATATTTGTTTAAATGAATATATTAAATTAATGTATCTTTTTTTTAGTTATACATAACCCTATCCTGTGAATCACAATCCTTTATCCCTACTATAGTGGGGATAAAGGATTGTAGGCTAAAATACTAAATCTGTAATAGTTCCTTACTGCAGATATATTTTTTTTTGCTAAAGGGAAATGCTGTAATTGGAAGCCAGGGTTCGTTTAGGCCGAATTGATCGAAAGGTCGTGCAAGTTCAAGTCTTGTTTTCCCTAAATATCTTGTGGACTAATGGGTAAGTCATAAATTTTTGGTGTTTACTAATGTGCGTTCGAATCGCGCCAAGATAAAAAAAGAAGGTTCTTATTTTTTTTTTTTATTCTCTTTTTTTGAGGAGATAGCTAAATCCTATAGTAACTTATTCGTTTTTTTTTTACCCCTGAGGGGTATTATATATTCGAATAGTCTATAGAGTTCCTATTGCTTAAACCTTTTAGCCAATGATAAACGAACAGGACTTAGTCAGTTTTCTAGTAAAACTTTTTAAATAAGGTTTCTATGTTGACTATTGAAATAAAGAAAGCCAAGGATCTTTCCTCTTAATTCTCATTAGCTCAAGGGTAGAGCAGTAGTTTCCTAAACTATTTATTTTAGTTCAAATCTAAAATGGGAAGTATCCCCCTTCTAATATGAAATATTAGAGTGGTAACCTTTTAGCCTAATTAAAGAAATGAAATTTTTAATAAAGCCAGATGTAAAAAAAAATACATTTTTTTTTTTACTAGAACCACTCATCATCAAGATATACTATCTTTTTTTTTTTTTATTGCAATAATATTTATAAATAAGGGCCACCAATATTTATTAAGGTTAATGGTAATTTTTATTTTTTGGTTAATTATTAGAGGAATACACCGGCCCCCCCCTAATTCTCATTAGCTCAATGGTAGAGCCGGATACTTCTAATATCCTGATTTTAGTTCGACTCTGAAATGAGAAAAATAAAATTAAATACAAAAACTAAATTTGTGTTTCCTTGTTATAACTTTCAAACAAGGCAGGCTACTACTAACTTGTCTCATTCCCGCTTACATTTTCCTAGAGGAGTAAAGTATATTGCGAGCTTGCGAGTAAGTTCGTGCAACCCTAAAAAAAAAAGGAGGTGGGTATTGATGCGTTATTTGTCGTATTTAATAAATAGAGAGGTACTAAGATAGTCCTCTCTGACCAGTTTCCCCTCCCACCCCCTTGTTAGTGATTTATTTGTTGTTTTTTTATTATTTTTCTATTTTTCATATTTAAAAATGGAAATAGAAAGGATTTCAAGATTGGTAAAAGGAAGGATTTAAATTTGATTAGTTATATATAGTTGGAATGCATTTTGGAAATTCCGTACCTTGTATATAACTAGGTTATCCGTTATATTGCTGGATTGTTATTAAATAAAACCAAACAAATTACCTTTCAAATTATAACGATATATAATTGAAAGAACTGTGTTTATGTATGCCTTTTTAATAAAGGAGCGTTATTTTAATGGTATAATATAAGGCTTCTCTGGTTAGTGGCTGGCTGATTTTGAAGATAGTATAGACTTCGTTACTTAGTAAGTTACAATTTTGTAATGTAACTGCCTTAATTTAAAAAAGATATTTTTTAAGTTATAAATAATAATTACATTTCACCCACGCTTGGCAGGCCTAGTTTGTTCCACTACCCCACGCCTCTCTTTGAGAGTAGGGAGGGAAAAACTAGGACCAAGGGCCGTAAGGCCTGGGCCGAGAGGGAAAAATATTTTTTATATTTGCTGGTTGGGCCTAATATTTGCTACTTCTTTCGAAGATAGCAGGTATCAATATATCCGCACAATGGAGAAGTTCCAGGATTACTTGTAAATAAAAAAAAAAAGATGATACAAGTTGCAAAAATTATAGGTACAGGGTTAGCTACAACAGGTTTAATTGGAGCTGGGGTAGGTATTGGAGTAGTTTTTGGTGCTTTAATTTTAGGAGTTGCTAGAAACCCTTCATTAAGAGGTCAATTATTCTCATACGCAATATTAGGATTCGCTTTTAGTGAAGCGACAGGATTATTTGCTTTAATGATGGCTTTCCTTTTATTATACGTAGCTTAATATAACTTTTTATGCGCCGGGAGTGGTGTGTGGCGGAGATTTAAACTTGCTTAATATGATACACCACTCCTTATCAAGGTGTATTAGTTTAATGGTAGAACCTAACGCTACGGTCGTTATGGTACGAGTTCGAATCTTGTATGCACCTACATTTGTTCGTATATTATTTTATTTTATTATGGTATGGAAACCTACTATATAGTTAAAAAGATAGACATAATTATCTAAATATAATGTTCTTAGGTCCAACCCTTCCCACCCTATTAGTTTAATGGTAAAGTAGTCTACTAACTTCTTTATTTCAGTTCGAACCTGGAATGAGGGGAATAAGGGGGGGGGGTTATACTGCGAATAATATAGATATTATTTATAAACAATCCTCATATATTTTAATTATTTTTAGCTTACTACTTTTCTGGTTATTTTGCATCATTATCTTCTTTTTTCTTCCTGAGTACGGCAGTATAAGATTGATTGCTATGTTAACTAGTAAATTCTTTTAAGATGGCTAGTTTTTAGGTAAAATAATCCCTAAAATTATAAAGAGCGTTTACATGCCTATATTGTTAGGGTTGATTGATTAGATTATTTCTCTGAAGATATACAAATGAGTATATACTATCATGTGTATATAAGCTAATTTAAATTAAAAATAAAAAAAAAATGTTTATGATTCCAACAGTTGTATCACTCCTGGAGGTTGTTTTAGTGTTGGTTCCTGCTTTACTTGCGGTAGCTTATGTAACAGTAGCTGAAAGAAAAACTATGGCCAGTATGCAAAGAAGATTAGGTCCGAATGTTGTAGGTCAGTTGAATTTAAATTTAACCTTTAAAAGATTCTATTCTAGCGATAGCTCTTCCCGAAGGGACCCCTGTGGTCCTTGAGGGTCCCCCATGGGAAGTTATCATTACGATAATGCTATAAACACACTATATATTAATAGAAAAGCCCCTGTTAAACCTTTTGAGGAAAATGTAGTAAGCGTATGTAAAGATTTAACATCTTCTAAAGCTCTTAGTACATTCTTTAAGGATTTTAAAGGTAAAGGTGGTATTTATATGTTTACTTTTAAAGATAATCGAAATATTTTTTATATAGGTAGAGCTAAAGATTTCCAAAAGAGATTTAAAAGCCATATTAATATTAACTTGAAAGATAGATTTCATGTATTTGCTAATTCTATCGGTTGAAATAAATTTGAATTTTCAGTAATTGAAACTTGTAATCTCTCCGAAGGGTGGTGCAAGAAGAAAGAGAAAATTATTTTTTACAAAAATACTTACCCTTATTAAATACTATATTTAAAAGTAATTTGAGTGATATTCAGACTTCTAATTCTTTATATGAGATATTAAAACTTAGACAATTAGAACCAAATTATGATAATAAATATCAAGGTATTTATATTTATCTCTATGAGTATGTTAATGGAAAACTAGATACTAGTTATAAAACATTTAATAGTATTAATGAGCTATCTAATTACTTAGGTGTAGCTAGAGAAACGTTGAGTATATATTTAAATACATACGTACCTTTTAGAAACAATTTGTTTTTAACCAAAAATATAGAATCCTTTGAGCTAGTAGAAAAACTAATTAGTGATGCTACTCAAGGATTAAAATTAGATAGTAATTTAGCTAAAAAGGTGTGAATGTACCTTATTGAAGCCGATGGTTCTATAGTTAAAACAACACATGAATCTAAAGGTGCTGTAGCTAAACTATTAAACGTACAAGATAGAATTATAACTAATCATATAGATAAGTGAATTAAAGGGGGTATTAATGGTCATTATATATTTAGCTATCAATTAGATACTATAGAATTAGAAAAATTATTGGGAATATCTTCATTAAGAAAATTTAATAATAATAGAGTATGGGCTTATAATGCCTCTACTTTAGAACTAATATCAGACTCATTTAGTAGTCTGCAAAAAGCTGCAGACTACTTTAAGGTAGATTATAGATCTATCTTAAATCATTTAGATACTAACTTAGCTACTTTAAAAGGTGGAAAATCTGTGTTGTTTTTTAGCCATGAATTAAGCAAAGAAAAAAAAAAGATTTATTATTTAATAATATTAAAAAGGCTGTTAATGAAACTGTTTCTGTATGAGTATACAAAAGTGTTAACAATAAATTTATATTATTAAATAGTAATAAACCTACCTTTAGTTCTAAATTAGAAGCAACTAAAGAATTAAAAATGAGTGCTAAAACAATTAGCAGATATTTAGATACTGATAAAGAGTATAAAGGATTATATTTTTATAGTGTTGCTTTATAAATTAATTAAAAGGTTAGATTCAGGGTAAGGTGTGAGAAACTTTACTTTGGCCTCCAGCAAAAGTAAACCTTTGCTAAAAATTATCAAATTGTAGGGGCAAGGGATTAGGTAACTAATAGATGGCTCAGGTAATGACTCGAGGTATAGTAATATCAAAATAGATGCACGAAAGGAAATAGGTAACCCGCAGCCAACTGCCTTGATATTGTAGATGCAAGTCAAGCTCTTAATTCAAGGTAGGCAGTTCATCGACTAAACGGTAATTGGTGTTATTAGAGCTATAGTGCTTTAATAATGCTTAAGATATAGTCAGACCTTACTTGAAAAAGTACAGGATATAAAGATTATATATATATATATCTTATATCCGTTAAATGGATAGTTTGTACCACGTACAAATATTTAGGGAGAAAGTCCTAAAACTCTACCTGTGTTATTAATTTAACTGGTTAAATTAGGATGAATTCGTACTATGGACTTCTTCAAGCATTTGCTGATGCCTTAAAACTTCTTTTAAAAGAATATGTTGCGCCCACACAAGCTAATATGATTTTGTTCTTTTTAGGACCAGTAATTACATTAATTTTTGCACTCTTAGGTTATGCTGTAATACCTTATGGTCCTGGTTTATCTATTAATGATATGAATTTAGGTATCTTTTATATGTTAGCTGTTTCATCTTTAGCTACATATGGAATACTATTAGCTGGATTTTTCCATCAAAAAAAGTCCTACCATAATTTTCATTATGGTTTATTACCCGAAAGAATTTCAAGAATAACTTTTGATAAGTCAACTTGAAGCGAAGGATGTTTTGTTTGTAAGCCTACTATTACGAATAGCTTTAGTTTGTACTATGGTTATTTATTGACACGCTTATTAATAATTAAACATCAACGTTCAACGACTAAATGAGTTTATAGAATAATAAACTTATTTGTAGTATTTGGGGGTTTTTTTCCTTTTTATTTTGTTCTTAAGTATAATAATCTGGCATGATGTGGCCTGATTTTATTTCAATTTTTATATACTACATATGCTTATAGTGGAGTATTTTGTTATTTTTTATAATTATATTAAACCTTTGTATATCTTAAATAGAGTTAATTTGACGGATATGCGATCAAGAAGATTATTAAGCACTGAATATAAGATAGGTTATATATATCGTATAGGCTACTACGCAGGTAACTATGCAGGTAAATCTTTATCTATTAATCGGAGTAGCCTTTATTCTAACGGTATGTTAAAATATTTTTATTCAACGAAAGTCAGAAGTAACTTTGCAGAGGATAATAATAGGGAGTATAGTTACTTGCCAGATGAAATAAAATCTTTACATACATTGTATATAAAAGATATATATAGAGATAGAATAGCCCCTGTAATTCCTTTTGATACTAAATTAATTTTAGATTCTTGTAGTAATTTCTCCGATGTTAAAGAAAGATCGGAGTTCTTAAAAAAATGAGGATCAAAAGGTGGAATATATATTATAGAATATAAACATAATCCTCTTATTTACTATATAGGTAGAACAACTCTTTTTAAAAGAAGATTTAATAATCATATTAAAGCAGAAACGAACAGTAAATTTCATCTTTTTTTTAAATTAGTTGGTTTAGAACATTTCAAATTTTCTATTTTAGAGGTTTGTTCACCTAATGAGCAGGGAATTAGAGAAAACTATTATCTACAAAAATTTTTACCTATATTAAATTCTACTTTTTCTTCATCTTTTTCTGAATCTGCTATTTATACTAGTTTGACTGATAAATTAATGAGTTTAAAATCTGTAACCCTCCCACTAGAAAGGAATAGTAATAAACCCTTATCTGTGTTTGTATATAGTATTGACGATAATTTTATAAATAAAAATTTTGTTAAATATGACAGTATGGCTGAAGTAATTAAAAAAGAGGATATTTCTTATAATACTCTTTTATTATTTAGAGATACTAATGTACCTTTTCGAAGTAAATTGTATTTAACTAGACCTATAATAGATTTTGAATCTACCTTTAATAAAATTCAAGATATATTAAAAGAAGTTAAGATATATGACAATACTGCTCAAAGAGTTTGAGCTTATGACGCTCAAACTTTAAAATTAGTAAAAGGTAGTCCTTTCTTATCTAAAACATTAGCATCTAGTGCATTAGGTATCAGTCGTAATGTTATTAATTATTTTATAGATACTGCAAAACCTGAAGGGGTTAAGGGTACCTATTTATTTAGTAGACAGCTTGAGGATAAAGATATTCAGAATTTTTTAAATGTTTCAGAATTTATTTCATTAGGTAATAAATTAAAAGTCTGAGCGTATGAAGCTGAAACGTTTAAATTAATAAATAATGAATCTTTTTCTAGTTTATCTGCAGCGGCTAAATATTTTAAAGTTGATTATAGAACAATAAGTAGACATTTGGATACTAAAATAGCTACAAATCAGAAGAATTTATCTGTTTATTTCTTTTCTAATGAAGTAGGTTTAGATTTAAAAGCTCAACTTTTAAAAAATACATCTAAGCTTTCTTCTTATGCTCGAATAGAAATATGAGTTTATAAAAGAGATGAAGATGGTAAAATGAATTTATTGGCTAATCAACCTTTTAAAACTATGCGTGAAGCTGTTCGTATTTTACATATGCATAATACTGTTATTAAAAAATATATAGATACTAATAAAGAATATAAAGGACTATTACTATACAGTTGCAATGTAAATCCACGTTTGCTTTAGTTTTACTAGCTTAGGAGTAAATTAAACTAATATTGACATATCTATATCTAGATTTTAAATATAAAAATTGATAAAATCATTAGTTCCACATCATATCACCTAATTTTTAGCA